CCTCTCTCTCTCTGGTGGCAGTGGGGGTGGTTGTAACTGCCTCACTCCCAGCAGCTGGCTGGTCCCTAGGCTTCTATAAGTAAATGCGTATCGACCGCGTTTCTCTGCTCCCTTGTGGAGATTCCCTGTCTGAGATCCTGCCTTGGCCATGAGGCCATCGATGGGCATACATTATTAATGTTGAAGAAAGAGATGGCGCCTGGTGGTGTGGGAACTGTCGCCTCTGCCTATAGACGGGAGCAGGCCCGGAGGAGGCACCTGGCAAGAGATACTCCTTAAGGCCTGACTTCCTGCTCAGGCCAATGCAGTGGGGAGCATGTACCCCAGGCAGTGACAATGGGCCTATCGCCCAGTCACCACAGCCATCTATGCTTTGTCCACACCCTGCCTGTGCAGGAAGCTGCCTTAAGTGGGTCCTTAACATCAATCTACTTAAAAGAAAATTAAGGAATTAAAACACTTCTCTCAATATTTTAAAACTGCATGTTATATAACTCTGCACAATCCCTGAACATATCCTGATGTAGCACCCATTGGAGAAACATCACTCTAGACAGAACTGCTTATCAAGAGGTCCTGAAAGCAGGCTAGGAACCCAGATTTAAGGTCTAGACACGTCAGAACAAGATGTCATCAGTCGCTAACATGGTGGAGGGTCTGGAGTGGATTTTCCTCAGACATATCATCAGTGGCAGACTCGATTAAGAGAGTTCTCCGCCAGTCTCAGCAAAACACTCAGGCAGTTTCTCCAGGTTGCAGCCAATTCTACCTATCCCCTGAGTGGCCAGGGCAGTGACACGTGGGAAAGTGTTTTTGGAGTTTGGGCCACCATCCCTCTGCAGAATGTGCCCTGAGCCGGGCTGTTTGGAATCAGGGGATGGGAAACATCTGTCAGTATTTGGGGGTGTTTTACTTGTCACACTAGAGAGAGAAGTATAGTCCTCCCCACAAAACCACCCAGCTCTATAAATTAATAGTGCAGGAGGAGGTTGGGAAAGCCTGCTTAGATATAAAGACTGAGATAGTGGGGAAGATACCAGAAACCAGCCAGGCCCACCAGCCTCAGGCCTGTGTTACACAGTCCTTTACTTGTGCCTCCCCTCTCTCTCACGGGACACTTTTTCCAGGCTTTGGAGCCAAATGGGACTTGGTTCCCCCAGTTCTGCATCCCTACTTCCCGCATGACCTTCCAACCATTACATGAAACCAATAGAAATAATGAGAACACGAAGGTGGAGTGAATGTTTCTGATACTGTACACAATTCTTATGGCCCTGGTCCAGACCTCTAGCTCCTGCCTCTTTTCCTGCACCGGAAATTGATACACTCTTACTTTCTGCTTTCATGCCTGCAGGGGGCTCTTGATCCAGGCTTGGTCAATCAGACCATGGACCCTACCTGTTGGTCCCAATTAACTGGTTCACTACAGACACATGGCCCAAACTAGACCCAGGAGAATCACCCCTAGGAGGTTGGCTAGCATAAACTAGAAAGAGGTCTTCTTGTTTTCCTGGGCTTGATAAGCTAGAAGGCTAGAAACCTCGCCCTGGAGAAGGACAAATATGCCATAGAGGGAGAGAGCCTGTCCACAACAATAAGGGATGGAGTGGAGTTGAGTCTTCATACATTGAGTGGCTGGATTCACCTATGCTGGAAACCATACGTGGACTTTGCAGCTCCAGCAGCCAATTAACTTCCCTCTTTCGAATTAAGCCAACTTCAGCTAGGGTCCAGTCACTTGCCAACAAGCTCTCTCATTCTTCACATGTGGAATGGCCCACTCCTTCCTCCAGAGAGGAAGTTCTCTCTGTGTAACAAATAGACATATAGATGCAGCCCGTGGCAGCTGGCAGTGACAAGAAGAGTCCACTTGCCAGAGTACGTCACTATCGTTCTGAAGATGCCCACAGAGACAGCCTTCCACTCCATAGCACAGTGGGCAGGAAGGATGGTTGAGGCTGGAGGTGAAGTGCACCAAAGCCAAGTCCACAGGCGTGTGCCTGATTTCTCATACTGGCAAATGCCTGCCGTTTCCCAACAATGCCGTGGTGACAACTACCATAACCAGAGCTATGCTCTAGGGAGCACTCTTCCATACCCCATACATGTAACACCCCAGAATCTGTTGAGCAGCCCTATGAGGCACATGCAGTTCCATCTCATTTACAGGAGATAACTCTGTGGGACAAGGAAGGGCACAGGGGTTATCCAAGGTCATGCAGCTAGAAAGTGGTGGGAACAGTGCATTTGCTTCTGAGCTTGTACTTCAGAGCAGGTCTAGAAGCGCTCCTTGATGAGCACCATTAGCTGGCCCGTCCATCTAAAAGTTAGGTTCTCCTTGCCTTGCCATATTCTATGCCAGTACTTATTCTCATTTTTATTTTTTTCAGCATCAGGGATTGAACTTGGGACCTTACACTTGCCAGGCAGGTGCTTATGCTGCTAAGCTATATCCCCAGCCTTTGTGCCAGTACTTTTGATCCTTACCTTTGTAGCATAGGCCACAAGTTTCCATTATTTTTTTACTATTCTTTTTTCAATCTAAAGTGAATGGAAAATAGTTTTTAAAAAAAGAAAGAAAAGAAACAATATAAAACTTCACCAAACAAAACAATAGGAATTCAACAATTGTTGCTATATTGTATAATATTGTCTTTAAGTTAGTTGTTCAGATTACTAGATATAAGTATGCAAATTAGTTTTTAAAAAGTTGCAAGAAATTAACAAGGACAAAAAAAAAATTTCAGCATCAACTGCTCCCCTCTGT